TTGTAGGCTGATTTTTCCCGGGGGGATCGATAAAGGGCTTTCAGGTCGGCGCGGGAGCGTCCAGATTAGCGTGCTGAGCCGACACACAGCTGATCAGCTGTTTGTCGGCTCAGCGCGGCAGCCATGGAAATTTAAATGAAACCGCGATTATTTAAATCGCGGCTTCATTTCCCTTTGCCAACCAGCCTAATCTACATGGCTCCATCGATGGAGCCATGTAGTTTAGACACACCCCAAGGCGTGTCCTTTCTACTGAAGAGAAGTGAGTTCAGTGGTGAGGAGAAAGGGCCTGGGGCTAAGGGGAGGAAGGTGTCTGAGGAGACCTGGGTTCAGCTATAAACTGATCCCTGCAGCAAGTGAGTGGCCCTGTGAAGTGCGGCATTACCTGAATCCAACCATTGATGAGGGTGGTCCTGGTGTGGGGGCTCAGGCTGCTGCACTGGGAAGGCCGAAGAGTGTGAAAGGACTGTACTAGACACTGCCAGAAGACAGAACAATTTACTTCTTGGCCCTTATTCCGTAAGCAACGTTCACCAGGAATTTCTAATCAGCCCTGAAAATCCTCTTCCAGACTGAGCGTGAGCAGACAGAGTTCTGTCCTCAGCAGAGCAATGAACACTTCCTGGGGTTCGGCTTTGCTGCTGTCTCATAAACAGCAGCAGCATAAACCTCTGCCTGAACATCTACCCAGGGCTTAGCTACCCTAGGATTTCCCTGCTGCACTGCCTCAGACCTAGAGTCCTAGTCCCCTCTGTCTTCAAGAGAAACGCCTCGTACTCCCTTCCCTTCCAGTTTACATGCTGGGTGGAGGGAGCAGGACCCACCAGCCAGCAGCAATGAGTAGGATTTTAAGGCAGGGTATTATCACGTGAGGTGAGGGGGACTCAAAAAAGAAGAAATGAGTGAGGCTTAGAGCCCTGCCACGTTGCCACTGAGCTCCCACCGGGGGTGCTGTGGAGCGGGTTGAATATGTACCTTCCTCTGAGTGGGTCACCATGCCACTCCCTCACCTTTGTCTTAGCCACCCTTCTGCCTGAGACAATAGGAACGCTCAGTCAGTGATGGGACTTCCCACTGCCCTCTAGGCCAACCAAAAACACTCCCCCCGAGAGTGTCCGATTGTGGAACTGTGCAGTGCCTAACACAAGGGGCCCTGATCTCCGATGGAGCTTCTGGGTGCACATACTAATATCAGTTCCTCTTATTGACGTTCCCAGTGGAACCCCCCACTATTTGCGGATGATACCAAACTGTTTAGGAAAGTCAAGACAGAAGCAGACTGTGAGGGACTCCAAGAAGATCTCACCAAACTGAGTGATTGGGCAACAAAATGGCAAATGAAATGTAATGTGGATAAGTGTAAAGTAATGCACATCGGGAAAAATAACCCCAACTATACGTACAGCATGATGGGGGCTAATTTGGCTATGACAAACAGGAAAGAGATCTTGGAGTTATCGTGGACAGTTCTCTGAAAACTTCCACACAGTGTGCAGCGGCGGTCAAAAAGGCAAATAGGATGCTAGGAATTATTAGGAAAGGGAAAGAAAATAAGACCCAGAATATCTTACTGCCCCTGTATAAAACTATGGTACACCCACATCTTGAATATTGTGTACAGAT